CAATATTTTGGCCAGCAAAAAGGACAGTGACCTGGAAGAGCAGAGGGGGAAAATCGGGAGAAACTCAGCAAAGAGAGAGAAACTGACTTTCCCCCCCCAAAATAAGACCCCATTGGAGGCCAACCCTACCTGGGACAAACTCTGGGCACTGGGGGGAAGTGGGTGGGGGGTGGCCTACCTCCTCCGTGTGTCCCTCGGGGTCTTCGATGTAGACCAGTACTTCTCCCAAGCCTGCCTCGACAGTCTCCACTGTGAAATGGGCTGATTTCAGCACCGTGTTTCCGTGGGGTTCGATACCTGGGGAAGAAGGTGAGACAGGTGGGTGAAGGGCACCCTTGGCTCCAGAAGAGGGGGAGATGGAGGGAGGGAAGGAGGGGGGAGGAGGAGGGGGAGGAGAAACGAAGGCAAAGGAATGTGAGTAGAAGAAGAAGGGAAGAAGGAAAGGGGGAGGAAGAAGAAGGGAAAGGAAAAAAAGGAAAAGGGGAAGGAAGGAAGAAGGGAAAGGGAAGCAGGAAAGGAAGAGGAAGAGGAGGAAGGGAAAATGGGAGGGAGGGAGGGAGGGAGGGGGAGAGAAGGAGGGAAGTAAAGGGGAAAAGGGAGGGAGGTGAGAAGGAGGGAGGGAGAGAAGGAAGGGGAAAAGAAAGGAAGGAAGGAAAGAAGGGAGGGAGGGAGAGAAGGGAAAGGGGGAAAAGGGAAGGAGAGAAGGAAGGAAGGAGAGAGAGGAGTAAGGAAGGAAGGAAAGAAGGAAGGAAAGAAAGGAGTGAGTGAGTGAGGAAGGGAGAGAGGGGAAAGGGGGAAAAGGGAGGGAAGGAGAGAGAGGAAGGAAGGAAGGAAGGAAGGAAGGAAGGAAAGAAATAAAGGAGTGAGTGAGGAAGTGAGAGAGGGGAAAGGGGGAAAAGGGAGGGAGGGAAGGAGAGAGAGGAAGGAAGGAAGGAAGGAAAAAAGGAAGGAAGGAAGGGGAGGGCCGGGAAAACTGAAACTTGGAACTTGGCTCGCTGACTTGCTAAAATAGCAAGATCGGCTGAGCCGACAGAGCGAGGGAGGGAGGGAGGGGGCAACTATCCCCCCCTCGTTTGACCCTTCTGGGTTCTGGGACCCTGGACCCTCCCCCCTTTCTCTCCCTCCCCCCCCCGAGGGCTGCTTACCAGGCCCGTACGCCTTGGCCTTCTTGGGGTGCACCTGCTTGGAGTTCAGGGGGGCTCCGGGTTTGAGTTTGGCTTTGGGGAACTGCGAGAGGTAAGTCATGACCGAATGCTCGTCCACGTTGGGGTCCACGATCTCTTCGGGGGCAATCACCTGCAAAGAGAAGACACGTCGATTCGCGGGGGGATCCGGAGGAGGCACCCCGTTTTTCCCCCAGCAAGCCTGATACGGCTGAACCTGTTGGATTTCCACCTGCCCCATGCGAAGCTCCCGGGAGCCCTGCCTTCCCCCTTCCCTGATGGCTTCCCCAGGAGGTTCCCCTCCCTGGTGCCAGGATCTCCTGCCCTCCCCCCAAGGCCCCACGGCCCCCAATCTCCGAGGGGTACCTGAGGGACCCCCAGCCAGTCGTCAGCCTGCTGCATGGCCTCGCGGGCGTTCTCCACTGGCTGCCTGGGGTCCCAAGTCTCCCAGTCTGGGCAGAGGCCTGGAGGGGGAAGAAAAGAGGGGGTCAGAGGGGCAAAGGGGGGGGGACACCTGAAAGACGCCCCACGTCAACTGGGGTCCTTCCACAAGGAGGCGGCCAGCAAGAGACCCTGGGTTGAAGTGTGTGTGTGTGTGTGTGCATGGGAATCCACAGGGATTAGGTTCTGGGTTCAAATCCGCTGGCAACCTTGGACACTGGCTGTCTCTAAGGCGGGTCCTTCTCTCTCAGCCCAGCCTACCCTACAGGGTCGTTATTCCGGGCCAAAAATCAGAGGTCACTCAATGAGCGAAGGTTTGGGTCAGTTGGTTAAGTGAGCCCCTTCTTTGCTGAAGAATGGCAGAGGGAGGGAGGGAAGGAGGGAGGGAGGGAGGAAAAAGAGACAAAAAAGTGAGAAAGAGAAAGTGGGAGTGTAGAGAAAGAAAGAGAGAAAGGAAGGAAGAGGGTAGGAAGGAAGAAAGGAGGGGGGGAGGGAAGGAAGGAAGGAAGGAAGGAAGGAAGGAAGGAAGGAAGGAAGGAAGGAAG